TTTGCGTTGTTAAGGGTCTCAAAGCAGATTCCTGGTTCTTTGGCGGTTCTGGAGGAGGTGTCCTTGTAGCTCTGACTACAGCATTGTCAGAAAAGTTGTCCATGCCTGTGAGGTGGGGGAAAAACATTTTTTTTTGTAAAAACACAACAACAACACATCTAAACTTTACCATCTCTCTCACCCACACCTGTGTATTTACTTAAAACCTCAGAACAACCAAACCGACAAGCAAAATATATTTACTGGGCTTCATCGATCCATCGGTCACTGATGCTGGTGAATTTTCCTTTTCAGCTGTCTCTTTCCTTTTTCTTTTGAGCTCCTTTTCCCTCTGGTCTAAGGACCTCTCACGTTTTGACTGTACTGTGGAGCAAACAACATTATTATAAAACACATGAAACCCTCTTGTAAGCTTTAAAATCATTGGGGGGTTTTTCTATTTAAAAAGTTATCGTTTCAAAAACAAAATAATCCACTTCAGACTGTAGAAATACACACCAGTTTTGAGTTTATTTCTACCACTTAAAAAACAAACAACAAAAACCCACAATTTTTTTTAAATACATCTCATTTTGCAGAATAAAAGCCAAAACGCCTTTTAAAACCCCTTGTTAGTTTCAACAAACGAAGTACTTTAAAAAACCCTACACCTATGCCTTGCACAGTCCCTTCCCCCTCCCGCCACACACATACACTACACAGCAGCTTTATAACACACACCAAACCAAGTTGGCCGCCATATACTCTTCAAAACCCACATGCATTTAACACATCACATTTTGCACAGAAAAAGCAACCCACCAAACACTCTATACCAGCAGTTTGACAACATCAATTTTAAAAACATACCTGTGTCTATCACAAACTCCATCACACACACACCTTCAAAAACTCCCCACAACGGTTTTAAAACCATTTGCAACTATATTTTTTAAAAGCAGCGGTATGCAACAAACTGCTTTTTTAAAACCACTTATCTCTTGCATAAGCCCCTGAATCACCCACAACTTAACCCCTACTGCCAGCTTTTTTAAACGAAAAACCCCAGGTAAAAACACTCCACCTTTTTGTAACCATCCCAGATACTTTTAGCCTAACCCCATCACTTCCTCCCCCAACTCAGAATTGAACATTTATTTTGAAAACACATTTGGCACAGAAAGAACAACC